GAAGCTACACTGTATAACGTTTCTCTGAAGAACTTGTCTTTTAACAGGCGCTAATAGTATTGATATGCACCAACAATCGAAAATAAGAATTTAAACTGAATAGAAAAATACGATTGAAAATGATATAGAAAACGCAATCACTTTGTTTGAGTAACACTATACTGTGAATATCGTATTTGTCACTTCCCTTTCCACTACGAAAATAGCAAAAGAACAAAACAAGCGATTCAAATAAACAACCCATTGGATATATTGGTTGATCTTGTCGTATTATCATCATTCTTATAAACCCCATAAAAAATCTTACATGAGCGTATATCAGTGCTTCTCAACCGCGGTCACACAGGGGTGATTTCGAAATTCTCTGGTGTTGGGTAAAATTTGGAATGAAGGGAAATTTGGGTGAATTATACACACAGTCTAGAGAAATGTGCCCATTAACATATCTGGAAGTTTAAACTAAAAAAATCCAGCCTTTAATTTTTAAACGTCAAAAATATTTAAAAACATTACGTAAGGTTTTTAAGTTTATGCTTTTTGGAAGCAGTTAGAAAACTACTGTACGAATTTGAGTAAAATGAATGCCTAATTGTAGAGAAAAACCAAAACTCGGTAAAACTGCTAATACATTAATTTAGAAATATTTTCATGTATCATTTACAACGTTTTGAAAAAAAGCAGAATGTCCCTTTAACGGTTGTAACGACATACATTAAAACATAACAAGAATCTGCTGCAAGAAAAGTACCACTGACAGCACTTTTTGCTTCTGATCTGTGCCCTTGATTTTTATAATTGGTTTCATTCTCGTTTCCCTTAAACATCATCAGCACTTTTAGAAGCTGATATTCCTATTCACCTTAATTAGGATTTTATTTAGAAGCAATAAGAAGACTGTATAAAAAAGATAAAAGTAAAATCAAATAGAGAAGCAAAATAAAATGTATGTTAAGTTTTAATTGGAATCGGCTATTTATTAATTATTTCCATGATTACATCAATATGAAAAAACTATTCAAATCTGGCTTCCAATCAAATAACTAAATGAACTAAAAACACGTAAGAAAGGCTTGTTGAAATTAAACTCATTTGGTTAAGAATGATAGTATTCAATTCCAACTTGCAAATGTTTCAAGAACAAAAATAAACTTGTCTTTTCATTTAAAGAAATCAGTTTAATTGAAACACTAATAATGAAAAATAGAATCCTTATCCTTTATCTATACAATCAGACAATGCAAGAGGGGAGGAATGTATTTACCTATAATGTTTATCACGTAGTGTTCAATTATGGACCTCTTAAATACACCAACTAATAATAACATCCGGTGTACTTTCTGAAAGGAATGGTAAGTAAAGAACCTAGTCGTGTTTGAGTGAGGTAGCGCTTTGTGTTCAGTTTTACAAAAGAGTGTATTCTCACCTCATGTCAGTAAACATCCAGAGCAATACGACCTTCTTTCATACGAGTAAATAAACTAGTCTGAGTGAGGTAGCGCTCTGTGATAAGGTTTTGAAAATAATTTCATCTCGCCTTTAATTATATGATAATAGTACACATAGAGAAATACGTACTTTTCCCATACAAGTACAGGGCAGATACATGAGGGTATACTATAACGTTAGTTTAACAAAATATGTGGCTCAACTACACCACTTTCCAAAGCAGACCAGTCCCGAATGATCATCATTTCTCTACTTTGTAGATAGCTATCACAATGTGAAAGGGTGTGACCATGCGTTCAAGATGAGGAAAACTTGCTTCAGGCAGAAATTTCTTCGTGCGTCTTACGTCCAGCTATATACAGAAAAAGCATCAAATTTATGAGAATTTACAAAGTGGATCATGTCCAAATACCGCCACTTCAATGAGGGAGTCAACGCGAAAACAGTCGGTTAAATTTTATGAAATCAGTTGAAAACTTACGGAGTCAAAGTATTTAAAATTTTTAGGAGTCAGTGGGGTTAACTTGTTTTATACGCCCACATGGTGTGTGGATCGTATATTGGCTTAATCCATGTCGACCAATCTTACCGTTAACAGTCTAGAAGGTTCAATTTTTGACTGATTTGAAAAATTGAGAAATATTCAATGTTATTGTTCATAAACACATTTCTTGATCGATTTTGACGTAACTGTTCATAATCACCTGAGGATGGACCATATCGAAAATCAATAAAAACCCTTGCAAACTGACTAAGTTCTACGTGCTTTAATCTTTGAATTCGTCACAAACGTGAACAGTTTCCACATGGTCCTTATTTATCGATACAGTGGTAAATAGAAGCAAATGTTGTCCACACAGAATAATCATAGCCATCATAGCCAACAGAAATGTGATATGGATGAGACAGTAATAGGCCTATATAAGCCTCTGGAAATTCAGGCATCCCTGGAAATTTTGAGATCTAGATCCGGAATTAAAAATATATTGTTGTCCTTAAAATTTTCTCTGCATATTACGTTATTACGCTCTTAGCTTTGTAACGAATAGGATGTAGAATTTCGCAATTTCATACATCTGATAAAATTAAAAGGGTTAAGGTAAACGTAAAGCATTATCGCCATGTTACCACCAATCTAAAAGAAAATATTTTAAAATTGTCGTCGAAGCAGATGTGTTAATTCAGTTTAAGATGATGAAAACCTTCTCGGATTATAATTAACTTAAATACTGTTCAGCTGTTACCGCTACTAACAAAAACATCATTCTTTGTGGCACAAAACGATAACTGTTAATGATTTTTCTTCAACACATAGTTTATATTACTTTCATTACTTGTGCCTGAATCCATTTTAGAATATATTTAACGGGGAAAATGTTCCGTCTCATCATCTCCACATACAATTTTTAAAATAATTCTTCTTTTCGTTTCCCTGATTCTTTATACTGAATTACTGTATATATAAACAGCGTTTGCAGGAAAATGTTGGTTTAATTTAAGATATCTCCATACTAGTTGATATGATATATGTTTATCCATCAAGGCTTACAATACACACATGAATAGTTAACATGTATTAAGTATAAAAGCCTTTATTTAGAACCAATTGACCAGGGAATAAGGCTGAAAATATCACTTTGCCTTTGCCAGTTGCCTTTATGAATCAATCAGGAATATGATTTCGTTAATTTGAGTAATATGTAGAACTAATTATGATCTGTAAAGAATTCTATTCTTTCCAACCTGTCCACAAATAATTGTCAATTCTATAAGATGCAGAAGGAGAGAGCAGAATCCTTAATCAGCCTTTCAATTCAAAGATCGATGTTCTTTGGTTTTTTTAAGATAAGTTGTAGTCAATATGCATTTAAAAGAGATCATATCTTGCAGCCAAACTCGATATCAAGTTTTTGGGGTTGTTTTTTAGAAAGGCTGTAGTGTTGCGTATTTCTGAAACTTAATCTCAAGTATGTAATACATAATTTTGCAGGAATCGGTTTATATTCTTAGATAGTTAAAGGGACAGTGTGCCGTTTTAGGGTGTTGATTTGAGTGTTGTATATTTGTAAATAATCTTCAGAAGTCCAAGAAAATCACATAATTACTTCAAAACACATCAAACTAAGAATTTCTTTTATCTATTTCTATATATGTCATTTCTATGTATGGCAGTTCCTCGTAAAAACACGACTCGTCTTTTAACTTTCAATCTCGGATTATTCGTGGATTTGAAGGCTGGAATTTCGACAGTGAGTTGTAAAAACTATTACTGATTGTCTTAGCTAAAAAAAAAGTTTTTGAGATTAAAGTATGATTGGTCCCCCTAAAAAATGGCACACCTGTCCCTTAAAGATGAGATTCACTCCCAGGAAGTATATATTTAACATAATTACTTGAGCATGACAGATTGTGTGTTTTTTGGCGTATGGCATAGTTTTGAAATTATACGTGGGATAAATAATGATCGAGAGGCATTGGGTAGACATTTCTTAACATTACTTATTAATAAGCTTGCAACATTTCGACGAACACAGATGAAAAAAAAAATCTTGAAATTTATTGGACTCCACCAGGGACGTACTTGTCAAGTTATAATTCTACCTTTTATCACATTACAATGCATTTTACTTATTGAACCGAATGGCTTTGAAAAACATATAAATATCAAATACTCCCACATGTTTTCTGAATCGAATTTTATTTTTAAACTCCTAAATATTCATTAAGAAATGTCTATTATTTGTCCCAAAATGACAGCACTGCTCTTGAAAAAGGCTCACTTTTGAACTTTTTTCTCGGTAAAAATAAATTTACAAATTGTCCTTAACCGAAAGACTATCTACGATTCATCTAAAGTTGAATTTATAATTTTAAAATAGTTTACTTCAAGCGAGCAGTGATACTATTTAAAACATATAACCAATTACAATTTAACCGTCTTGTAACACTCTGCGGAAGTGACGGCTCCAAATTCCGCGAACAAAAAAAATTATTTATTTATAATACTTAATTATTTTCCATATCAAATTCTCTTCCATATCAAATCCATCTCTTTTTAAATTGTTAGTCCCTTTTCAAATATGTTCTTTTTATATCTTTAGAAGGTGACAATTTTTTTTTTCAATATAATTTTATTTATTTAATGTCAATACGCCGAAAAAAATATTCATATACATGTATACAGTATTTTATTTCTTAAATCCTATATCGACGTCTTTCCCTAAGTATAGAAAAATAAATGTTCACGTTCATTTAAATACTACCACTACATTCGATCAATTAGCAATTAGGAAATTTACCATATTGAACGTCGTCTTTTAAGACAAAATATTCTTTTTACTACAGATCGAAACAATTTGCCCCTGTATTTCACCAATTCATTTACCGTTGCTAGCGTAGCATTACACTATTTGATCGGTAGATGGCGCCTTCGGCTTAACGCGTGTAAAGGAAATCGACTCTACTAGTCAGTTGATTGAGAGGAGGCATACAACCAGTGAGATATATATGGGCTGGAGTTTTAACTATACAACAATGTTAGAGTGAAAGAAATCATGAAGAAAACAGCCCTAATTGGTCTTTTGGTGGGTTCATGGTCGTTTTTCCTGTCACTCTGTTTCGCCAACGACAATGCCAAAAGACTTTACGACGATTTATTGCGGAAAAGGGGCTACAACAAACTTATTCGACCAGTGGGAAACAACAGCGACAAACTTACAGTGAAGTTGGGTATTCGACTTTCGCAACTTATAGATGTGGTAAGTACAGATTCTGTTTTCCAAAATAATTTGGCATGTTCAACTATGTATTGTATTAGTATGTGTTTTCTTCTTATCGATTAAGAGCAGACGGTGTATTGTTTATTGTCGACATGACAGCAACACATGTTGTCAAATACTCTATATAAGTTCTGAAAACTTTGTTGCATTGTAACTAAGATGGATAAAAAAGAGGGGGGGGGGGTTATATTCACCAGGCCTTTATACTATTTATTGAAAATTTGGCTTTTTCTTCTAATGTCATAGGGGCCATTGGGTTAATGCCATTGGGTTGCTCGCCTGAAGGTCCAGGGCACCCATTCCGGCATAGGACGTGATAATACCCTCGAATGGGACAATAATTCGAGGCCCTGTATACTACAGGCTGTGCATTGCACATTGAATGGGGATGTCAGTCCTCATTACCTCAAACAGGTGCATAAAGGTAGAACGTTAAACTTACAAATTACAAGTGACATAACTTCACCTGTATCAGAGCATCACACAGCATGCATAGAAAGTTACTCTATGAGGTGTTTCATGAAGTATTAAGAGAATTTTTTAATTTAATGTGCAATGAAGGTGAGCTAATTCAAATTCCTAAATTCTGTACTTTATAATTACCAATTCCATTCACTCCATCACCGACCACAATTAGTGCTTTTTTGAGGAAGACATATCACCATTGACATCTTTCCTTTGCTTTTTTACATACAATTTTTACAGATTACACAATTTTAATCCGAAAGAATAATTGAAACGCCATTTCACTTCCAAAGAACTATTGTAGGTATAGGTGTATATATATGAAACAATAACTAAAAGAATGGTCATTGGATTTTCTCAAAATCAGTCAATGAATATTAATAAATGAATTTAAAAGAATACGATGGTGCATAGTTCAATATCATGTTAACTTAAATTGCAAATTAACATATATGCAATATACTTTATATTCCTTTGGTATGAGTAGTGCTTTACCTCGCCATAATATGTATTGTGAACAGTGCAGATTTATTTGTAAGTATTTTGGTTCCTCAAGATGGCTGAAAACATGCCCAAAAGAGCTTCGTCTCACTGTCTCTATTATCCAGTCATAAACGATTACTCATTAAAATGCATGAGTAAATTTAAATGGCATCTTAAAAATACTGTTTGATACGAATCTCAACTGTCTATAGAATGTCAAATTAACCTTTAAGTATTGAAAGGGGATTTACACATTTAGGTTATTGACCTTGAAATTTCAAGGAAGACTTTTGGTTTTTAAGCTAAGTGTTTATAATTTTGAAAAAGGAATGAACTTTCAAAATGACAAGAGCAAAGCCAACAACGCGCATTAGAAGAAAGCTTTACATATGACCTAATTTGCGTCGATGTCATCACATGTTATGTTCTAAAACATTTCAATAGCATATTTTACTAGCTCCAAAAGTGTAATTTTAATAGGTATTCAAGCTCTTGTTCTGGTAACAGAAATGCTCCACTAATCAACACTTATATTTGAAAGCTGTTCAGAGCCAAAATAACTTCACATGCGTCTTCATTGGAAAATATATTAAACAGAACATTTGGTGTATAATTGCATTGCAATTTGCCTATGTTATTATTAGTAATAGTTGCTATAGATCTGGTCATCCTTAAGGTTAGCGCACAGTTGTGGACATATATCAAGGTCATACAGCATGAACCATATAACCATAACGTATGGCCAACTGGGTCTTTTGCTTATTGCTTTGAAGCTTCCCAAACTACATAAATTAAATGGTTTAAGGAATTAAAAATGGAAAGTTTTAATTGTAGGTGGCAAAGGGCAGCTTTGTCCGAGAAACACTTTTATTTTTATAACAATGCCTAAACCATGATCAAACCCTCACAAATGAAACATAAGGTAGGCTATTGTAGGCTTATGATTTGGGACTGGTCGGGAGGTCATCAATTTGACCTGGAATTATGCCTGAAGATTGAATGGAAATTAACCATCCTCTGGTAGACATACCTTGAATACAGCAATTAATATTTTGGTACTAATCTAATCTACCAGCTGATCATTTTAAAATGCTAAATCTACAGGCTTCAATTTTTTAACTGTCATTTTAAGTTGTTCAAAGATATTCGATTGTAGGTATAGTGGTTTTTGAAGGTTATAGCCAGTACCATGTTCCTCCTCTGGTTTTGCAAAAGTTTTATAATGAATTTTGGGTTGTTTTTGTTTGTAAAAAAGCAAACCAAAGTTTTTAGGCAAGACTGGTATCATTCGATAAGTTTTTAAAACATAGGAGGATATTGGTGGAAAACAAAATCCGTGAGAGTGGCGCAAGATACTCTATAGATTGAGAACCTTAAATGAAGGGGTCAATGAATCATTTCAGCCCATAATCAACTGACACAGGCCAATTGATGATTGATACATACAACAGGAATTCCTTAGGATGAACACTTAGTTCTGATAATAGAGGGTTTTGATATGTAGGCTGCTGATGGGAAGTTTGTATTTAGGAAAGCCACGGCAACCAAATAACCTACTAAAGGCAGAATATTTGATTTCGGGGAATGGGGGGTTATTTAGCAAAAGTCATACTAACTAAGTAACCAACTGAAGGCAGAATATTTGAGTTTGTATTTAGGAAAGTCATACCCACTAACTAACCAAATAAAGGCAGAATATTTGAGTTTGTATTTAGGAAAGTCATACCGACTAACTAACCAACTAAAGGCAGAATATTTAAGTGTGTATTTAGGAAAGTCATACCAACTAACTAACCAACTAAAGGCAGAATATTTGGCTCCTGTATAAATTGTAAACGAAGATCAGACTTTACCCAAGATTATTTCATACATGAGAGATTTATTTAGCTGAGGTTTATTAAAATATCAAAGACTTAAGTTATTAGATATAAAGTCTTACATAAGGCATTGATTAGTAAAATCGACTTAGCAAACAAAATCAAATATTTGGCATTTATCTTCAATAATCAGTCTAATCTTACTCAAGCAAATGAAAAGTACACAATTCCTTCGTGATTGGAAATAGAAATAATAATTAAACGTAATTCATTACTGATTTTGTGTAATTCTGTAGTGATTATGGACCATATTATCTAAAATCAGATTAGCTAAAGTAGTTACTTAATGAATTAAATCTAAATTTAATTATAAGATTATATCTTGTCCTCTCTATATGGTAACCATCAAAGCGCTACCCGGCGTATAACTTCTAATACAATTTAGCATTACTATGCATCAACTGTTTTTTTTTTTCATATTTCATTGACCAAAAAGGCGCGAAAAGGATATAAGTACATTTATCCCATAACAAAAAAATTCGGAAGTAACATAATTATCTCTTTTATAAACATCATCTGGAACGATAAATTTTCGTTCCGTTTTAGTAGCCGAAGTGGCTAAACTAAGAATAGAAAGCTAATAAAAAAACGAAACGAAAGTTTGGTCTAATTTTAATTACATTGGATAATTGTTTGTATACGTTTTAATGCTTTGAAGAAAAATCAACCAGAAAGCTATTCACTCTACGTATGGTTGTAAAAGCCATTCCATTGTGGGCTACCATAAGCATGAGAACGTACGTGAACAATTGATAGCAAGTTGAAGTAACCGAAGACAATACACAGACTTACTCTCATCAAAATGCAGAGTAAACCAAACTCAGTATGATTCATTATGTATATTCCACTATTATAGTCAAATTCCTTTTAAATTGAAAGGATTTCACTAAATCGTCTGATGAATATATTCCCTTCTAATTACACTCTATAATATTCGTATAGATAACGTTATTGTAATCGGCCTCATAAAAAATGATATTGCTGGAATATTAACCTATAGCATCAATGGTTTTTTACTATGCTTGCACTCGTGCAATAATTGTGCTCTGAAAAATTAGAATATCATATCCTCAACAACTTTGAGGATTAATCTTGCAGCTAAAAACCCTTAAAACTATATCTTATACAACCCTCCAAAATCTGGAAAATCTTTCCCGTTAGTTCCAATACATCAAGTTCCTCCAATATAAACTTTATCTGTAATGTGACCACCATGTAGAGTTGTGAGAAAGTTTTCGAATCAGGCCATAATTTGGCATCATATGGCATTTTCATCTGTATTAATTGTTAAGTCCTCGGAGAATTGACTAATGAAAAATCACAAGAAAAACGGTCTCAGTATGTCATGCATTAGAAAATGTCAAAGGTTATCTTTCATTGAAATATGTTGTAAAGGATTTTTACCTATTGAAATTTCCTATGTCACATCGCAACCGAACAAATGCTCAAGGTCATCATATGTAATGTGTTCAAGTGAAATACAATATGTGTAACTGTTCACATAATCGATTATCCAAGTTAAGAATTATCATTCAAACCTTGAAATAATCTGGGTCATTAATGAGTGATTGCCATCTCACGATATGATATTCTACTGCTTTCAGTTCAACTAAATAACATTATTTAAAGGGCAGATGCGCAATTTTTTTTTAAATCGTACCTTATAGCCAGAAACGGCTTACCGTCGAAATTGAGCCGTCAAATCCAAGCGTCTCCCCGTTTTAATGTTAAAACGACGAGTCGTCTTTTCTTGAAAATGAAATGAATGAAGTTTTACTCGTCTTTTCTTGAGAAACTGCCATATATAGAAAAATATAGAAATAGGGAAAGAAAGTCTTAGTCTGAGATATTTTTGAATGAATAAACTATATAGACAACTCCACCTATTTCTCGTTTGATGCGTTTATTCCAGTTTTACTCTACTCAGTTTAATATGTTTTGGGACACGATGATGAATAAATTGTGATGAAAACACCATGTAATATTTCATTATAGTAAAATTGAATACCGAATTTCTTTTCCTTCGATTATTGCATAAAATAAACCATTTTGTAAGGAAAATTTGTTTTATTCTATTCCATTCCATTCCAATCAATGAATGCATACATTAAATCAATCACAGATTCGTCGACCCATTCTCCTATCAAATCAAAT